TTTTTTAGATTTTCTAGATCAGTCTAAAATTTGAGTAGCTTTGCTACATGCATGCTAGAAAAATCTTTTTTTTTCACTTCAAATTTAGCTGAAACATTATTCATTTCGTACAGCTTGCTTTTTCAACTCTACAGCAATGGCAATAAACACCATCAGATAAATTTCTTGGCAGTTTTTTTAGTTTTGCAGGCTTAGAACCCTAAAGTAGCGGCAGCTGCTCCTCCAAACAAATTCTTTGATTAAATATCTCAAATTTTCAATAATAAAAAGGAGGCTTTCTTTGCCAGACAGGTTTGAGAATGATCTATTGGATCAGCATTTAGCTTTATTCGATTTTTGATCCGATTCTCAGGGATTGATTTCAAGAACTCAACCAAAAAATTTCATTTTGCTTACATTCTCAGGATTTTAAAATTTCATAATCTGTTCTGATTACTCAAAAGTCTACATGCCACTTGCACAATTAAATAATGTAGGCCACTTTGAAAAACTTCGCTTCCTCTCAGGCTGCTATTGCTCTACATCATGATTTTTGCAACCTTTGATTCAACTGGCTTGGCGGTTGGAAGGCGGGGCTTCGTGACCTAACTAAGGCCACTCGGGCCCTCGGCGCAGTCTGCGTCTCTTCCGCGCGTGTGCTCTTTGACCATTACCTAGCCTTAATTAGGTCACGAAGCCCGCCAACAGCCGCCAAGCCAGTGGAATCAGAGAGTATTCTTTTTTTATATGCTTTTCATTTTTTATTCTATTAGGTTGTCCCGAAAGTTTTGTCGGTTTTTTTCATCGATTACTGAAACTCACAGAACACCAATCCATGGGCAAGCTAGGTACCATTTGATTCAGTTTTTTATCCTCTTTCATACAGCTATATTTCCTCTCTGATCTACCCTGTCTTTGCAATGTTATCGCCACGACTTTTTGAGCAGTTCACCAGTAACGCCAAATCTTTCCTGAATTTTGAAATTTTTTATCCTGATGTTTTTAAAGAGCGCTGGTAACTTTTAGGTAGAGCAGATCTTTGGCTACATTTTAACCATTTTAGATTACGTGGGCCACATTTACCAAGTCCGTTATAATTAATTTTTCAATAAAAACCGCGACTTTTTGATTACGTTTACCACGTAAAAGTACCGAAAATTCCAAAAAGCTGCTTTTTCAAGGCAGATCAAACTTGGTCATGTTGCATAAATAATGTTCAATATGAATCATTTTTCAACTCGCAGAAACTTGGAGAACTTCCGTGTAGTTGCTGCAGTTGCGTGTTTCATGACTTTGCCAAAAACCGAGACCTCTTAAGAAATAATTTTTTTTTCAATTTAAAAACAGCAGTTTGGGAGAAACTAAAAACATAAACTTGTAGTCCGAAAATTGGTCTATTGGAGTCATATTTAACCTTTTTGAAAACTTTAAAATGAAATTTTTAAAAATTAGCCGAACTTTGAGCAGATAAAATTGGCGGATGGAGAATTTTAACAAATATCGAAAAAAGCATACAAGATTGTGGCCCGCGAATGCATCCATAAGAAAGAGAAGAAAAAGCTGCATCGAATGCGTGTTAAAACTCATTGAGATGTTTATTGTGCGTGGTTTTATAGTGATTTGAAAAAACCGACAAAACTTTCGGGACAACCTAATATATTCTCAACCCTATTTTATTTTTGACTGCGTTCTACAGGGTGTCCCAAAAGTAAGTACACACTTTTCAATCGTCAATATCTCTCTCCCTAGTGTGTCTTTTTCCACCATTTAATACCGTTGTGTAGAGGAGGCTTCAACTTAGATTTACAAAATCGAGGGAATCACCGATCTCTCTTCATTACTGTAGGATTACTGTAGGAACTCGGCAAGGATTTTAGGCCATTGGAGTCATATTCTGCCTCGGAACAAGACCAAACAAGCCAAAAACTCTTATACTATAGTAATGGAAAGCCGCTGATTTCGAATATGAAACTTTCACTTTTCTGTGATGCTTCTTTTCAAAGTTATCGCAGGTAAACCGTAATAACCAATTTCCCAGTATTTGTCAGAGTTGTGATTACACCGTCAAAAAAGCTGAAAACACTTGTAAAAAGTTGTGTAGTGGAATCAGAGTGTGCGAAAACCCTAGTATGCGATTTTTCAAATTTTTTGAAAAAATTTTTCGTCAGGTGGCGTATCTCACAATGGTTCCATATGCTGGAAGTTCTTACCATAATCCTACAGTAACAAGGAACAATCGGTGATTCGATCGATACTGTAAATCTAAGTTGAAGCCTTCTCTACAGAATGGTACTTGACTGGCAAAAAAAGACCCAATAGCAAGAGAGATATTGACGATTGAAAAGTGTGTACTTACTTTTGGGACACCCTGTATATCATTGTAGAAAATGAAACAATTTTTTAGCATCTCCTGCTTGATTTTACAATTTTACAATTTTACTGTCAAAATCTTTGGATAAAATGAATTAAACATTATTGTTATGACTATCTATTTTGAGCTGTAACGTTCATAGTGCTCCTTTCGTAACCAAACCAAACAACTAACACAGCAAACCATACTTTTGTTTTATGAAACAATCTTCCATTGAAGAAATGGCTGTCATTTTCTATCCTTTACGAAATGACAGCTATTGAATCATTGTTCACATACAAAAAGACAATATCCCATAGAAATGGACCAGCAAAACATGAGTATGCTACGAGTTGGGATTCACGTCAGCATGTATTTCGGTGTACTTTTATAGCCGTGAAATACAGCTTTGGTTTTCTCGCAGTCTTCTCAGCAAGTTCAGAGGCACTTTGCCTTGCATTTTCTTTTTCTTTTGAATCTACCTTTTCCTCTTCGATTTCTGATTTGAGATTCTGTCTGAACGGGATGAGTATTCGAATAAAAAAGGATAGGCAGAATCTATAGCTGCAACTCAGGAAAGATACATTTTGTCTTGATATAGTATAGGTCCATGATACAAACTATGATCAACACCCTTTATTACAGACAGCTAAGACTAGCAAAGTTCGGTACAAAAACCTTGCAAAGCGAAATTCTCACGATTTGTAATGCAAAAGTGCACAATGGAATTCGAGTGCAGTGAAACAGAAGTTCTCCATATAGATTTTCACATACATATGAGACCAAATTCAATAGAAAAATGTTTGCTTTTAGTTGGAGCAGAAATAAGAAAAAAACAAGTACATGGTAGTGCTCACGGGTCGCCTCCTTTTGCATTCTTAGAAAATGTTTCTAAGTCGCAAATTTTTGTCTACTATTTCTCGAAATTTCTGTAAAATTGTTAGTACTATTGCAGTGTCCTGAAAAACAATATTTTCGTTCAAAACTGGGTTTGAAAAGATAACGGTTGGGCTACCTACTGCAAATCTACACCTAAAAACTTTGCTCGCTCCTTGCAAACATTTTTTTCACTCTAAATTAGATAGGGAAAGAGCATGTGTCGAAATGCATTTACTGCTTAGCATTTTGAATGTCTTCAAAGCTCTTCTTTAACCTGCAAATTGACTTTTTTTTACTCGCGTATCACTCAATGACCAGAAGCCAGACCTGCACAGATATTGGCCGGTGCCCGTTCCCCCACCCTCTCCTCTTAAAAGCTCCAACATCTAGAACTGTAAAATTGTAAAATTAGAAAATCCTAGATTACAATTAGCAAGTCAATGGTTTCCTTTCAATTAAACATCTGTGCTCTCCTCTAGAGTATACAAATAAGCTTTTTTAGTTTACTTGTTCGGTTTCTAGGGAGGAGGAAGTGCGGAGATCAAAAATGAAAAATCTAGGAATTGCTTTAACGAGAAATGAAGCCAAACGTTTTCGGCCATTTACCATTATAAACATGTGCAAACTTTCGGATCAAATGGATGACTGGATTAAAAATAGTATAGATTTTATTGTTATTACTGAGATAAACATTGAAGTTTATGCATAGATGTTTGTACTAACAATAAGTTAAAAGAAATTGCTGCAATTTCAATCAGGAAGTGTGGCTTTTGAAGCTTTTTTGTGCTAGAAATTCCTTTCTCTCTTTGGAAAAACTTGCTTATGCCACTTTTCATGTCCTTAGGCAAATCTCAATCACGTCAAAAGATAATTTCTGTCAACAAAAATTCAGCAATGACGCAGAATTGCCGAAATTTTGGCCCTTAAAAGCAGCATTTGCAGAAAAACCCACCCACTTGCCTATGGAGCTACAGCTCTGGTTTTAGCTCAAACTTCACTTTCGCAGCTATGTACTCGGTCTGAAAAAGTCATATAAATGTTATAACTTTCTTCCCGTAGTAATTAACAATAGGCAATCATTCTATAAAAATTAAATAAACTTCATCATATCAATTTTTATTTATTTTCTTTTTTGTTATAACAATTATAGTATAGCGGTCGAATTATATTGTACACAATAGAGATCGTTTTAACAATAAATTACCAAAGAGGATCCTCTACTTTACCAAAAATGTTAGCTTTCACTTTTCTCTATGGAAGTAGTTTCTTCCCTAATATTATGAAATATGCAGCATTCCGGCACTATTGGTGCAGTATTATTAGTTGGCAGCCTTCTTGTAGTTCCTCATCATTTTTACTCCATAAAGTTTGCCCAAATTGGAGCCATATCCGTAGTCTTTGCACGAACAGCTCATCGCTTTTTTCCATGGAAACCGCGGAAGTTAATCTGGTGCATCCATGCATCCCTTCTGCAAAAACAGTAATCTCCTTCTGTTCGATCGACTTAACTTTTTAACTTTCTTTTGAAACTTTAACTAACTTTTTGGTTTTTTTCAACTTTATTTTCTCCGTGAATACTCGAGTTGAATTTTTTACAGTCAAATCAAAGTCAAAGAGGATAACGCGTTGAAGCCGAAATCTGGGTGTCCAGAAAGCCATTTTCTTCAACTTTTCGACCTTTCGCTTCTCCAATTTGATTAGTTCCAATGTCCGAAAAAACTTGTTGACTCCATTTCTGACGTTTTCGTTCAATTTTCGTCCGTCTCGGAATCACATGGAACTCTTTCAGCATATGGGAGCTACCCAATCCACAAATAGAGCTGCAAAGTTTAGCGGTAGTACGCGGAAGAGCGTACGGTCCTATCAAAGTGGTTCGTTCAGTTTTCCTCTTATAACCTCCAGTTTTCCACTAATTTTGAGCTTTTTAGCGCCGGCCAGTGCTCCAACTGTACGTCGTCAATTATCGCAACGAAATATAAACAGGAATGTTAAAGAATTTTCAAGGTTTTGGTCTGGGGGTAAGTTTCATTTGGCTGCCTTTTCTGGCATAAACGCTATTATGTTTTGCTTTCAGGTGGTTCATTCCGTCCGAAAGGGACCAGTGGAAACCGACGTAGTGAATCTGTCAGGAGGAATAATAGCGTGCGCAGGAATCGGCCCCAATGTAAGACAAATTTGATCCTAACCCAACTGCGGAGGCTTGCCCCACCCACCACTTTCCAACCCATCATTTCCAGAACTCGGCGAAATTAGTTTTTTCAGCTGCCGAACCATCTCGAAAATCGTCAAGAGGGGTTCTCACGCCAGTGTCTACGCCACATTCAACACCTCGACCAATGCACAACTCGTACCCACCGAATGGCCCACCTTTGCCCCGTCCAATGATGGGACCAAGAAATTTTGAGCCTTCGCTGCCGCCTCCACCTCGTTATGACTACCAGGACGATGTTATAAATGACAATGGACGAACTCGTGTATTCGACAGTAATCCGGAACGATTGCACGCTTTGCAGTTTCCGCACGAGACTGCCATCTATTAATTTGATTGTTTTTAACAGTTGCAGCTGGGGGCGGGCCAATTATTCTCATGTCGTGCTTGTTGAGGAGGCGTGGTTGTCTCGTTTTTTGTCACCTCGGCCACGCCCATTCATTGCTATTTACGGGTACACCTTAGAGGTTATAATGTGACTTGTTTTGGAGATTTTTACGATGTCGCAGAGTACACTTGAAGGATGATAACCTGGGGGGAACATTCCACTCCACACCATTATTGAAGAGTTAACAACTACTCAGATTTCAGGCTATACCCATATTTTGCACCGCTCAGGTTTTCATTGATTTTTCATTCTGATGGATGTAGTTTTTCCCGATTTTAAATTGTTCAAAGTAATATATTACCTTATGCTACCTGTACGACTTTCCTGATACTCTAAGCTCTCATGCAAACTTTCAATCCTCGCTATATAAGGTTCCATAAAAGTGCTAAACTGCAGGGGCAGGCGTCATTTTGCAAAATTGCCAAAGAATGGGTCCGCAACTAGGAAGAAATTAAAAATCTGCGTAGGAACTAATTGTCACCTTTCTGACACAAATCGCATTACCTTCACCACAAGAATCAATTGATTTTTTTGCATCGCGCGGGCTTGTAAATGTTGTATTTCATCTAAGCAATAAAATTTTATTACATTTGATATGTTACATATACTGGACATCACAGAAATTATACCCGAAAATCAATATATCGATCATCACTCTTGGAAGTAGAGTACGGAGAAGGAATTAATTTCTAGTTTGTTCCAGACAATTTAAGTTTATTCGAGATTAGCCTAAGTAGAAAATTTTGAAGATTAGTTATGTCATGGTCACTGCTGAGAGATTCTGCTCAACACTAAACTTATAAAAGTACCCGTAAAAAAGCTGTTAAGGCAACACAATGACTAGAATCATAACACGGAAAAGAGCTGCAGTGCGATTTCCTACCACGTAAATGCACGATTGATTTGCTGGAAAAATTTGCGGTTCTCGCTTTCGTAAAATCGTTTCAATCTTCGGAGAACGTCAGGGTGAACCACGGGATGTTTTCTTCCTTTCGTTTTGCCCAAGCAATGTAGGGTGCCATCGGAACGTCGCACACAAGGAAACTTTTTAATTGGATCGACGCCGAAGTTTTCTGGCTTCACAACTGAAAATACTAAAATATTGTTCGAATTAGGGCATGTAAACCACGCTATCTTTGATTTACCTGGTTTCAATCCCAGAAAGCGTTCAGTCCGGCTGATTTCCAAAGCAGGTTCGGTAACTAGTCGCTCTCCATCGACGATGTGGATTTGGTCCATTGGAAAATTGTCCAGCCATCTTTTCATGTGCTTGTGATACACCCCTATCCGAATTGCACCCCATCCAGCGTTGACGCCGTCGACTTTTGAGGAGCAATTTGTCCGAAGCCATGGTGCACAATCGCCAACGGCCATTTCTTCGAACGTTGGCATCATGCCGAACGACTTCCTCTTCGAAAAAGCCTGCGTATAGTCTGCAACGAATATTCAGTAGGGAGACATGTAGAGGTGCCAAGAAGCTTAGTTTACCTGATATTGCCCTCATCACAGGGTCTCGTACTACTATGATGATTTTCATAGTCGGATTCAAGGCACGTATTCGCTCAGCAGCACTCTTGCTATGGAAATAGGCTGGACTTTTTTCGATTGTGAGCTGGTCTCGAGATCTCAGAGGCATTCTTTCTCTGTAATCAAATTTATTAGTTATCTGTTATTCTGTTCCAAATGATGCGTCTGAGTCTGTGCACTGAAAGTTGATCTCAGAAATGCTCATAGATTGCAAGATTACTAGTAAGAACGGGAGACTAAGGAGATTGGTTTGAAATGCCACCATTCTTTTACTCATCACAAATTATGCATATTTTCAAGCTGCCCTTTGTCATCACGCTCAAAGGAGTGCCTATGTAATCAAGAAGCTTCTATGCTAAGATAGCTCTAGTACTCAAAACTGAGACCCACAACAATCTCCCTTCACCCTAAATAGCAAGCATAGCTTTATTTGGTGATCGGACACATGTTCTATGTACCCGTTCTTGTAAGCCGAAGAAGAAAGAGCTTCGTTACAATTGGCCATCCGTGCGTATGGTTGATACCAGCGCCATTCACACCATAGCGCGTTCTTTCACCCGTCATCGGTGCCGCTATCTGCGGGCGACGGTGACGTGACTTCGTCATGAGGTCGTGCCGAGCAGACATCAACGTACTCACTGATAGGCGACACCAACTTGGTGATGATTACTGTAGTGATGTATATGGAAATAAAGGTCAGAAAAGGTGAGCTCATTGGCTAATTATGGTGCTACTATACACCCCTTGCTTGCGACTGACGCGCAATCATCCCAAAGTCAAAGGTAGTAGTCGCTTCTATTTAAATTTATAATTCCCTTTAAACGTAATGCTGCTACCATCACTACAGTAATCATCATCAAGTTGGTGTCGCCTATCACTAAAGCCCTACCTTCTGAGAGGGCTGGACCGAAGAAGACGACGTACGAGCTCTTGCTGTTGCTAACACCTTCGCCTCATAAAACTGAGGATCTAAAGAGAAGCCGACAGAACTGGCCGGTGGCTGTTGTTTCGTTTGAGCAGGTGGTACTCGAAACAATATGTCGGCTACTAGACAACTGTTACGAGCTGTGACATGGATGTTCGTGAAGGGAGGTGAGGGGAGGGAGAAACGGAAGCGGGAGGGGGGGGGGGGGGGAGGAACTGTGGTAATAGTTATGATAGTGTTGATGGTGTTGATGGTAGTGATGGTGTGGACGGTATGGATAGTGTGGATGTTGTGAGTGCGGATGGTGTGGATGGTGTGGATGGCGTTGCTAATGTTGATGATGGTGGGGATGGCGTTTATGGTGTGATGGTGCGGATGGTGGTGACAGAGGTGCGATAGGGGGAGCCGGGTCCCCCAAAAGTGAAGGTGGTTTCAGCTACCACTGGCCGGCCAAAAGTGAAGGTGGTAGTGTCGGACACTCACCTCCCAAAAACGTCGACGGGGGGGGGGGGGGGGGGGAGGTGCGGGGGGAGGATACAACGGACGAACGGAGCTATCTTTCTAGGTCTAACGTCGACCCAACGGCCCTCTTTAGGGCCACAGATACGATGAATATTAAAAATATCTATAAATTTTATTTATAAAAATTTAAAATAGACGTGTTTAGTAGATGGTGTATTTGGAAGTAGAAGTTTGTTGGACTGTACGGATTTTATTAAGCAAATTTTGTTATAACGTACAGCGAAGAAAGTAGATCGATCCAGGCAGTAACGGCCGAGAATCAGAATTTCGAATAAATAAATAGTGAAAAATCATGCAAAATTTCCACTGTTATAAATCTGTTGTTTGAAGATGTCAGCAGTTGCGACTTCATAGGTTTTGAAGAGTAGATGTTGCTCTATCAGCTAGTGAAGGAATCTGGTCGATTTAAGAGATAGTCGTTGAAAACCAGAGTTCTAAAACTTTACGCCATTTTTGCGTGTTTTTTGACTGTTGAGAGTTAAACTCTTATAAATCTTGAATGTTGAAGTGTATGATGTTGCGACTTCATAGGTTTTATAGAGTAAGGTTTGCCTTATCAGAATATGTCTTGTCCGTTCCGATCCATTGAAACACCTCCGAGATCCAGAGTCATGAAAAAGCAGGTAAAAAAGAGCTTTTTGAACTTCAACAGCTCATAACTTCTTCAGGATTGCACGAATCATGTTGCGACTATATGTGGGGGTTTCGCGCCTCTTACGGCATATGCCCGGGGGGGGGGGAGACTTTTTAGGCCAAAGTCTCCCCCTCGCCCATTTTAATGTATTGGCTGGAGGCTGCCGGGGGAGGCTTTGGCCTAAAAAGTCTCCCCCGGCAGCCTCCAGCCAATACATTAAAATGGGCGAGGGGGAGACTTTGGCCTAAAAAGTCTCCCCCCCCCGGTCATAATTCGCAGGAGGCTCTAAACCCCCACATATTATATATCATCTGAAAGCCCTTGATGAGAGGAATCTAACCTATGAAGTCGCAACATGATTCATGCAGTTCTGAAGAAGTTATGAGCTGTTGAAGTTCAAAAAGCTCTTTTTTACCTGCTTTTTCATGACTCTGGATCGCGGAGGTGTTTCAATGGATCGGAACGGACAAGACATATTCTGATAAGGCAAACCTTACTCTATAAAACCTATGAAGTCGCAACATCATACACTTCCACATTCAAGATTTATAAGAGTTTAACTCTCAACAGTCAAAAAACACGCAAAAATGGCGTAAAGTTTTAGAACTCTGGTTTTCAACGACTATCTCTTAAATCGACCCGATTCCTTCACTAGCTGATAGAGCAACATCTACTCTTCAAAACCTATGAAGTCGCAACTGCTGACATCTTCAAACAACAGATTTATAACAGTGGAAATTTCGCATGATTTTTCACTATTTAAATATTCAAAATTCTGGTTCTCCGCCGTTACTGCCTGGATCGACCTACTTCCTTCGCTATACGTTATAACATAATTTGCTTAATAAAATCCGTACAGTTTTGCTAAGCTTTACTTCCAAATACACCATTTACTAAAAACCTTTATTTTAAATATATATGCCGCCGTATACATAAATATATGCTTTCAATAATCTTTTTTGCGTTTGTTTTGTTTATTTTCCTTCTTTGTCGTCCAGCGAAAAATTTTTTATTCCAAAAGTGAAGGTGGTCACCCCGTACCAGCTCAAAAGTGAAGGTAGGGGGAGACTTGGCTCCCCCTATCGCACCTCTGGGTGGTGATGGTAGTAGTGAGTAGTGGTGGTGATGCCGATGACGGTGATGGGGTGAAAAGAAATTAGGCGGTTTCAAAATGGAGTCTGAAGCTAGCTTCTAGAACCAATGTTTTTGACTTCGTAGTTCTCCCAAAATCTTCCTCCACTTCCCTGTATCCCCTCTCTATAAAGAGCAGCGAAAGTTTGGCTTCACTGATCTAATAAACATCACATTGGCAGGCGTCTCTGGATTGCGTGACAGCTCTAAACGAACAACGCTAGCCAAACTCGTGATTATAGGGACTCAATCGTATTAGGCAGGAACAGCAACGAGGCTGTGCTCCCGTTGCTAATGTCCCAATGGGCACAGGAGAGAGTAACGCATTAGCGGCGTTCGATTAACACCAAGCCCAGATGGTCCTATCTTCAGAAGACTAAAGTGCTGATTTTCATTCTCGATGTGATAAAGCTTAGATGATCATCTATCATGTACGCAATAAAATTGGAAAAAGATAAATCAGTAGATAACTGCACCCAGCTTGGAATATCCAGTGAGATTGATAAATTTCCGGTCCCTTTGTTGATTTTTTGTAAGCAGAAACTATCGTGTTCTCAAAGCAGAAAGCAGTTGAACAACAGTATGGAGACGGATGTGGGAGTATTATTTTGTACCCAAAACCGGCAAAGGCCTAAAACATCAGCAACAGTTTTCCCCACTTCAAGCATATACCCTCAAAAATGCCTGACCTCTAGCGTGTTTATCTAAGAGCATAGAAGTTATGTATGAATGTTTACCAACTACTGGTAATCCACTCCCCTGCTGATATGTCTTTTATACAAAGAATCACGCCGCCTCGACCATTTTTTGTGTAAACATATCGTAATACTACTCGGACAGGAGCAAGATACTTGTAAATATCTACCGCTTCCGATCGAAGAATCATTATCAGGTCTAGATTGCAAAATTGACAGAGAATTGCGGATAGGTTGGAAAATTACAGGAGCAAAAAATATTGGGTTAGGGCATCTGTGTGAGAGAAATCGTGACAGCTTTGTTCGAAGCGGGTTTTACTCTGAGTGCCATGCGATTCTTGGATATGCTGAGAGCATATTTCACAGCATTATTGATGGAAGATTCTCGGCCAAGAACCATCTGCTATTCTTGGATGAGGGAAATCCGAGAGCGATGACAAGGCCTCGATGACGCAATTATCTCAATTGTCGGTGAAGCGTTTTTTGTCGCGACACACGCGGCGGGACTCCCTTTGGCAATCGGGCACAAGATCATCTCATTTCCGGATTACAATTAGGCCTATGTATGATATGTAATGTGAGGAAAAAGCGAAGACAAAGCTAGCAAATGAGCCTTGTGCTTGCGGAGATGCTATCGTAAATCTGAGTTTTGTCAATTCTAAAAACTTCCTAAATTTTTTCAAGACAGGAACTATAGATATCAACGCAACACTTGAATTGTCTATACCAGAATAACCTCCCTTCCTTACTGCTCATATTCAATCACACAAGGTCGAAACCACAAATCCTCCGAGACTCTAATGATGCAGCGATTAGGATCTTCATCATCATAACCCGTCGAACCCGCACCATGGACTTGATGGTTACTTTCTCCATCCTCTCCTCTCTTCGCCCCGAGATGTTCTGATTGAGAGACGGTTTATGAGGGTTGAGGACAGTGCGCGAGCACACACTAATGACTCAGTCATAAATCCATAACTGATTCTCTTAGAATGAACACTATCTACCTTCTTTCCCTCTACACCACAAAATGCACATTTTTCCGTAATTTGTATTTGAGTGGCTATCGTCGCGTTGTGCTTAGCCCATTTGTTAAAACTAATAATCCAATCTTTGTGTACGAGCATTACAAAAGATTGACGAACTTTCAAGTCGTTAAGCCAAATTGCTGACAGACAGACATGCGGGATGGAGACCAAAGC